GGGGGGGGTTTAAGGGTGACTGCAGCCACGTTGACCCCCAGCTGCTCTGCTCCTGCCTGAGGGAGGGCAGCTGACCTCATGCCCCTGGGTCACAGCACCTCAAGGTGCTGGGAGGGCAAGGAGGGGGGGGCACCCATGGGTGCCTCTGCCCCGGCGTGACCATGGAAATGACAGGGGATGGGAAGAGCGGCCTGACCCAGATTCCCCTCCAGCCTGATCCCTCAGTGAAGTCATAATCCTCAGAAGGCTTCTGGGCCTTTTTTTTTTTTTTTTTTTTTAAATACATCCCTGCAAGTTGCCACGGAAACGACGGCGATGCTATAATTTCAGCGTTACAGACTTCAGTGTGAGAACGGTTGGGAGAAGGAGGCTGAAAATGCAGATGAGCCACGATGGGGACCTACAGAGGAGAAAAGTAAAACACAAGCAGCACCCGAAGCAGCACCCAGGACTCATCAGGCAGCCAGGAGGGTGATGGGGTCCTCCCAACCCCTGGGGTTTGCTGTGCTCCCAGTGTGGCTCTGCTCGCATCAGGGTTGCGGGTGGGATCCCATCCCAAAGGGATTCGGGGTGGGAATGCACATGGCTGCTGCTCCCTGCTTACAGGGATACCCGTGGGTGCTCCCAGCTCTGGTCCCAAGGACCTCCTGGGTTGGTGGGGTTGAGCTGGAAGGTGCTGGGATGACCCTGGAGCACCAAACGCTGCTGCTGCACAGGAATGAAGCAAATCCCACCAGCACGCATGACAAACCAGCTCCCTTCCTGCACCCCTTCCCAACCCAAGGTGACGCAAAATTACCAAAACAATCAAAATCAAAATAAGATGGCAGACAAACAGCTCTGTGCAAACACTGCCTAACGGGCCATGACCTGTCAGCAGGTCCCAGGGGGAGCCAGAAAGCCCCAGGGACTCACAGGGTGCACATGGCACAGGGCTCCCACATTGGAGAAATCCCAGCACGTCAATGGCAGAACGTGACCCTGGTGCACAGCATGGCACCTTGCAACACCTTGGTGCGTGGCATGGCACCTTGCAACACCCACCTCCTGATGCAGGGCGCCCTGCAGCACCCATCTCCTGGTGCAGGGCGCCCTGCAGCACCCATCTCCTGGTGCAGGGCACAGCACCCTGCAGTGCCCCATTTCTGGTGCAGGGTTCCAGGCTGGGAGCAGAGCCACAGAAGGATGCACACAACCTCTCACAACATTTGACTTCAGTCCCCAAGCAGGAACCAAACCCCAAAGCTCTCACATCCAACTCAGCCAAGACCAGACCCACCAGGATTCCTTTCTGCAGCGCCCAGAGCTCCATATTTACCACAGCAGTATTCATCTGAGCAGAACACAAAACAAATCTGCATTTGCAGGACAAAAAAAGCCCCCCCGTTCCCCCTATGCATAGAATCACACTGTGGATGTGTGCAAAGCAGCCCTGCTCCCTCCTCCACCGAAATGCCCAAAGGTCACACGAGTGAACACAGAGCTCCAAAGGATGAGAGGAGAACACCTCCAAGCGTGGGCAGCCCCTCTGCCCTTCACACCTGTACAAGTGGGGCTCTTCTGATGGAGCAGCCCTTTGCATCCCAGGGCCATGCATGGAATCCTGTCGCTGTTGGCCACAGGGATTGAGAGGAGCAGAGCACGGCCAAGGCTTCCTGCTTCCAACCTCACTCCCAACGCTCCGTTTCAGCCTCTTGCTCTTTGCTCCCAGAGCTCCCAGAGCCAGTTGCCATTGGGAGCTGCGGGGCCGTCCAAGCATCCCTCCCTCACTGACTCCTTCAGCCCAGCACAGCGCCGTGCCCCAGCGATGCCATTTTGGGGGACAAATCCCCCTGGGAATGCAATGGCAACACAGCACAGAATCACCAAAGTCAGAAGAGAGAGCCTTCAACATCATCGAGTCCAACCCCCGACCCAATCTCTTGGGTCCCACCGCTGCACTGCATCCCTCAGTGCTGCAGCGGTCGTGGTTATAAAGCATCGCTCCCCATCCCAGGATGGAATCCACACCTCTCTGTGTGCAACCACTGCTGAGAAAACCCAACACACCGACGGCAGCAGCACGGGGTGGGGGGGATGCTTACAAAGCGCCCTGCACCGCACGCATCGGGGTGACTCCAGCATCCCCACCATACAAACCCCCAGCAAGCACAGGGTACGCGCCAAGCCCTGCCTCACCAACACCACCCTGAAGACAGATGCTTCTCTCCCCCCTGCAGTAAAATGCCAGTTCTATCGAAAGGCTTGCTGAAGGGAGCAAGACGCAGCATACCAGCCACCAGCTGCTGCAGGAAGAGCCTTGGCTGCCTTTACAACCAGGATCTCGCTCCGACCATTTGTTCTGCTTCTATTTTAGCATAAGCGAGGGCTCGGAGCCGCGCAGCTCCCGGCTGCGTTCTGCACAGGGATGGGGGTATTTTGGAACGAGCCAACGAGCAGAGAGGTGCAAAGAGGGGGGCAGGGGCTGCTCAGTGACTGAGCAGGGTGCAGGAGATGGGCAGCCCAGCAGCCCCGCTCGTCACAACCCAAAGGGGGTGAGGCTTCAGCTGCCGAATTTGGGTCCATAGGACCACCACGCACAGGCCAGTCGCTTGCCAGCCAAATCAACTCTCCTCTTAGCACACACTTCTCACAAGGGCAGGAATCCCTCTCCCGTGGAGATCTGCTGCATTCTGGGCAGGATGAGGCCACCCTAAGGCCGTCATGGTGTGGAGGATGTAGAGGTTCCAACCACAGCCCCACATGGTTCCCATTCCACTCCACCCCACCAGCAATGCATCGCCATGGGCGCAGGGACCGAACCGCACTCACAAAACCAAAGCATCGCCGGAGCACAAGAACTCATCCGTTC